ATATTTATATTTAGATTCATGTTTATATCTCTATATATATATATACATTGGCTCATTTATTCATTCGTGTTTGTATTTGTATTTGTATTTACAATTCGAGCCTTATCTCGAGCCCGAGCTCTATCTTTTATTGAATCTTTATTTGTGTCTGTGTGTGTATTTATATGTGTATTTGTATTCATTGTTTGTTGATATACTCATACAGATATAGACCTAGATACAGACAAAAATTCCGATGAAGATCCCTTATAGGATCCCCTCGTCAAAACCCTAAACCCTTAACCTTAAACCCTAAACACCTAAACCCTACACCCTAAACCCTAAACCCTAAACCCTAAACCCCTAAACCCTAAACCCCTAAACCCTAAATCCCAAACCCAAGCGGCTTTGAAGCCGAGGAGCTGCTGTAGAAGAGGCCTTCGAGCCCCTTCTCCACGGGTGCTCCATCGATGTGGCCGTTCCGAGGCCTGCATTTCGGGTCTTAGGGTTTAGGGTTTAGGGTTTAGGGTTTGGGGTTTAGGGTTTAAGGCTTGTGGTTTAGGGTTTAGGGTTTAGGGTTTAGGGTTTAGGGGTTTCGGGCTTAGTGTTCAGGGTTTAGCGTTTAAGGCTTGTGGTTCAGTTCAGGGCAGCTTGGGGCGTGGGTTGAAGGGGCAGCTCGGGGTTTGGCGCGACCGCTGAGGGATGAAGAAGGTGTGCTATGGGTTTAGGGTTTAGGGTTTAGGGTTTAGGATTTAGGATTTAGGATGGCATCGGCACTTATAACACCCTGCGTGAGGCGAGCGCTTGCTACAGTAACGGACACCGCAGATGCGACAGAGCGTGCCACAGCGGCACCATGCAGGAGGCACAGTCGGTGAAGCAACACCACTTGGCGCGGCAGGATCCATGTGTGTGAATGGCATGGCTGAAGGCGCAGAATTCGAAGTGCTGGAGGCCGCTAAGTTTTTAGAAGTAGTGGCAGCGGAAGGCATAGCAGTCATCCAAGGTGAACCGACCGCACCCCCACCGCCATTTCCACTTCGGCCAGCTCTGCGTGTCAAGACGTGAGTGGCGTGAAGATATAACTCGGAGAGCTCCTCGGTGGTGCACTGAAGAAGACATGTCACTATGGACACCACAAGCTCTTGCCAGTGAGCCAAATTTGACACAGGCGCACCACTTCCGTCCATTCCGAAGATCGAAACTAAGAAACGCTGATTAGGGTTATGCGGGTATGTTCCGGGTTCAGTTACCCATGTAAGCAATAATTCCGATACTTGGCAAGATGTGGAGGCAACTAGGACTGTCCTTTGCGTAGGGATCGCTTTGACAGTTTGGGTGCCCGTGCCGTTTGAAGCAGGAATCTTCAAGGGTAGTATCATTTGCAGCAGCTCGATCGAGGCCGCGACGAAGAACATGGTCTTGGTCCTGCACCAAGGCGGGAGATTGGCCAAGGCCCTCGCAATGGACAGTCCAGCGGGGAGATCGCCACCGGAGTGCTCGACCTCAGCAGTAAGCGCCTTGTTGCCGGTTTCGCTCCTGACAAGCGTAAAGGCGGGGATAGAGTGCCCATCCCACCGATGACGGGTATGCAGACAAGACCACAGAGTCCAGTAACGCACAATCGCAGACCAAAGTCTTTGCAAAGTGAAAGTCTCGAGCATTCATACGTAGTCTAAGTCAATCAAGCAAACCGAAGATGACACGCCGCATTCTCGCCATAACGCCAAAAGCGAAACTTTCAGTGAAGAAGCAAAGACTATAACCCCTCAAACCCAAAATCCTAAGATCTTTAACACAAAACCCTTAAGCGCTGAAGCCCTTCGATCTAAGACACCTAAACTCCCTCAAACCCTCAAACCCCTAAACCCTTCAACCCTTAAATCCATTAGCCTGCCTTTATAGAACACTCTTAGTTGGAGAAGCCCTAAAGCCCCTACAAAAAAACAACCATAAGACAAAATCGAAACGGTATATCAAGCTTAAGCAAGCCAATTGAACAAAAATACACCCTAACTATATTCCATAAACCCTACCTCCTAAACCTAAACCCTGAGCCCTACAAAACCCCAAGCCATAAACCAAAATTACAAAACCCTAAGTCCCAAAAACCTAACCCGAAACGCTAAACCTCAAGTCCTGAAGCCCTGAGACCCTAAACCCTATGAGCACCCCTTTAGGGTTTAGGGTTTAGGGTTTAGGGCTTAACCCTCAGCCTCAAGCCCAATACACATAAGCCCTGCAACCCTAAACCCTAAAACCGAAACCCGTACCCGTGACCCCATAGTAGGTTATGACACCTTGATAGTTACAGGGTAGTACCCACGGTTTTTGGATCCCAAGGTGAGGGTCCAAAGGACCTAGGTGTCGCGTACTTGGGCTACGAATCATAGTTTTGTAGCTAAGTATTTGGGAGAGTATATGAGTACTTTCATTAGTAAGGCCACTACGTAAACCCTAAACCCTAAACCCCAAACCCTAAACCCTAAACCGGTCGAACCTGGGCCCTCCCACGGCAAAGAGGGGCAAGGTGAAGATCGTGATCAGCGGGGCCTGCTCGGTGCTTCGGTTGGGTTCGTGAGGGGTTTTGGGGTTAGGGTTTAGGGTCTAGGGTTTAGAGTTTAGGGTTTAGGGTCTAGGGTTAGAGTTTAGGGTTTAGGGTCTGGGGTTTAGGGTTCAGCTGGGTTCCTTTAAAGGGTTCGCGAAAGGTTTACGAACAAGGGTTTTTGTGATCAGCGGGCCTGCCGGTTGAGGGTTTAGGGTTTGAGGGGTTTCGGGTTCAGGGTTTTACGCTAAACCCTAAACCCCTAGACCCTATTCTTTTTAGGGTTTAGGGTATTTGAGGGTTTGGGGCTTAGGGAGTTTAAGCTGCAGCTTTACGTCTGCCGGATCCTCACCAAACCAGGCGGTATGGGGTAGAGGGTTTCAATGGCCCGTGGGTTCTAAAGGTTATACGCCTAAACCCTAAACCCTAAACCCTTCTTCATTGTACGTGTTTTTGAAGGTCTTCTCTGAGGAATGACTGAGGACCCTTCTTCAACAGTCCTGTAAGAACTATACTACAAACTTTATAACCCCAATGTTCCCTTTGAGGGTTCCTCTAAAGACTCCTTTAAGGGTTCCTTTAAGGGTTCTTGCTTGGATTCCTTCAAGTGTTCCTTCAAGGGTTCCTTTCAGGGTTCCTTTTGGGGGTTCCATGCTATGAACTGCATAACTTGGGTACTGCCCCCCATACAGAACAGTATATAATAGGGCTACTATGAAGGGCCTTATATTATAAATATTATTCAACTGCCGAGTGGGGGCAGCGTCCAATGTATATCCCAGAGGGTCCAAGTACCCAATAGCCTTCTAATCCTATACTCTCACATATCTTAACCTATATAAATACTATCCTACACCCAAGTGCCTAGAGATTGGGTCCTTTGGCACGCTTCGGGTAACGGGACAAAAACGAATAGATAGATTTCGCAAGCGATTCAAACCCATGAACCCTTGCGGCTTGTGAAAGGTCGCACACTGCCTTGAACCCTCAACCCTAAACTAAAACCTAAGACCCTTAAAGCCCTAAACCTTTCTAGAAGCATTATAGGCCCCTGAAAGAACTCATCAAGGAAAGCTCTAAGGAACCACGCTAGCGCGATCCTCCAAGACGGTCGCAATGGCCACAACCAACAGCAGCCCGGGAAAGAGTAGGGCCTGCAAAAACGCCGGGATTGTTCGAGTTTGGTGTTGCAGGGTCTCAGGTGTTAAAGAAAACCCTAAACGCTAAACCCCCAAATCCGAAACCCTAAACCCCTAAATCC